AGCGAGGGACGGGCCGGCTCAGCCATTTCTCAGGACACCTCCGCCGGCAATCAGCGCCCTGGGCAGCAGGAGGAGGACAGGGTGTGCGCTGCTTGAAATAAAGCAACACCTATCCCTCTGTTTTAATTTGGTTTCAGACATCGGATTGATTTTGTAACTCCGAGCAGCAGCAAAGGCATGAGGGTTTTTTTTCCTCTGCCATTTGTTTCTCAGATCAGGACAGGGATTCAAAAGCTTGGGGGACTCTGAGCTAAAGGCAGGGGCACCTGCTCAGGGTTCCCTCAGGTGTCCTCCAGCTTTAAAACCCAAATGTCTCCCTGAGCCGACGAGGCTCACTGGGACCCTCACCAGCTCTCCCTGGCACACCCAGCGGCCCCACTTCCGGCCAGGCACGCAGCGGCATCTGGGGAAAGGATGGGCCGACTCAGACCACCCGAGGCGCGGCACAGACCGCCCGGTAAGAGCTCAGGCCCTCGGATTGGAATCCCGGTGCTGCTACTTGTTAGCGGTGTGAGCCTCAGTTTCCTCATCAGTGAAATGGGAATAACAGGACCACCCTCACAGGACTGACGCCGGGATTACATAAGATGGTGAGGAAAGGCCTGAGCACGGATCCGTTCGGGGCGAGCGGGGAGGAGTGAAAGGTCCTCCCGCTCATGTCCCGGCCGCCGCCAGGGAGTTCCTGAAAACTTGGAAACGATAACCACCAATGCGGACTGGTCTAAGCACCCTTGGGGCGTGGTCACATCCATCCTAACAGCCTCGGGGGGGCCCCAGGAGGCAGCCGTGGAAATCAAAACCACGGATCTATTAGAAAAGCTCAGGTGGGAAGCCGAGGTCACTTCCGGTTGTCACCGGCTCCATCACTTGCCGAGCCTTGTACTTTCTGTATGTACTCCCCTCCCCTCCGGCGCCGCCCACAGATCCTCCCACACTCTCAGCTGCTCCTCAGCTGCTCCCCCCACAGGTCTCCTCCCCGGAGCGTGCGGCTGGAAGCACTTTTCATGTCTCAGAAAGCAAACAAGCCTCGCAAACGCAGGGCGGGGGGTGAGGGGAGAAAAATCGAATACATCACAGAACAGCCTTAATAAGGCAATCTTTCTGTTCCCGGGCTCCCTGTAATTGTCACATCAGGCACCGCCTTTGTAATTTGGAAGTTAAATGAATGAGAGAGGCTGCGCCACAGCCGTGTTCCCGAGCAGGCCTCCAGCTGCACACGGAGCACACGGCGCTGCCAAAGCAGGTGCGGACACCAAGCCCCGGAGATAGCTGTGGGCACAGCCCCTGGCCACCCAGCCCCGCTCCCTGCCCCCTGCCCCTGCCCCCGGCCCCGAGACTGCAGAGGCTGAAAGCCCAGCCTGCTTTCCTAGGCCCCTCAAAGCTGGGGCAGCCATGGGACACAGGACCCGGGACCCGGAACACGGGACACGATGAGCTGGGCTGAAAGCACATCAGTGGGCTCTTGCTGGGGATGCGAAGGAGTTTCTTGCTTTCCAGCTAGAGAAGCAGTCAGTCACCCTACCCTTCCACGGGGATTTATAAAAGCACATATCTGCCCCTCGCTGGTTTGGCTCAGTGGATAGAGCGAGGGCCTGTGGACTGAAGGGTCCTGGGATCGATTCCGGTCAAGGGCACATGCCTGGGTTGTGGGCTTAATTCCTAGTGGGGTGTGTGCAGGAGGCAGCCAATCGATTCTCATCATTGATGTTTCTATCTCTCTTTCCCTTCCTCTCTGAAATCAATAATTAATATATATATTTAAAAAGCACATATCTGCCCCGAAGCCGGTTTGGCTCAGTGGATAGAGGGGTCAAAGGTTCGGTTCCAGTCAGGGGCATGTACCTTGGTGGGCACATCCCCAGTGGGGTGTGAGGGAGGCAGCTGATCGATGTTTCTCTCTCATTGATGTAAAAAAAATAAATAAAATATATATATTTTTAAAAAGCACATATCTGACCACGCCATTCATCAGGGTCCTTTAAGAGTTTCCCACGCTGCCATGATAAAGTGCAAATTCCTAAAGACCTACAGGCCTTGCCTGATGGCCCTGACCACTGCCCCAGCTTCCCAGCCCCGCCTCCCTAGCTCTCTGATATTCCACTGCACTGGCATTCCTTCGTTCCTCAAACTGTCGCACAGATGTCTGTTGTAGGGTCACCCACAGGGCTGTTCCTCATTTGGGAGGCTCCCCTCTAGCTTTAGGGCCCACTTCACCCTTGTTCACCTGTCTGAGTCCTAAACAGGGAACTTTCCCATTTCAGATATTACACTTTTCTGTTCCAGAGTTCCGGCGTTCATTTGTTTTTAGTAGTTTCCATTTCCCTGTGAGATTCCCCAATGTTCACTCATTATGACCATCTATTCCTTGAAGTTCCAGACCAAGTTATATAATAAATGCCTCTGGCTTTATTTCCTAATTCCAACTTCTGGGTCATCTCAGCATCTATTTCCTTTTTTAAATTCGTATTTCTATGCCTTTTTAAACTTGGACGATGGGTCGAATTTCCTGATTCTCGGCAAAGCTAGGACATTTTTATTGAGTGCTGGACATCACAGGTGGAACCAGCCTGGCGGGGAGTCTGGATTATGTTGTCTCTCTTTAAAAGTGTTGAGTTTTGTTCTAAAAGTTCCTTGTGAACCTGTCAGGCCTTTTTACTTTATTTTATTTTTTTAACTAAGGTGAGTCTATTTTAATTTTGTCCTCGTTCCTAGAGGGTCACCTGTATGCCTCATACATGGCTTTGTAGGGGTGTCACATGCATACTTTCGCCTGGGCCGTGACTCCAAGGTCTCGGGGCACCGTGCAGCCCGAGGCTCTGCCCTCTCTCAGTCCCTCAGCAATCATTTCCACCGAGCCCGCTGGCGCCCCGCAGCCCTCAGCCAAGAGCCTGCAGCAAACACAGATTGCTGCCCACTCCTACCACTCCCACTGCTTCTGATTTTCAGGGCAGACCAAGCGCTGACCTCCAAAGACAGCTTTGCCAATGAATCTGCACAGGAGTTCAGCAAGAACCCAGCAAGTCACCGTGGTAACTAGCGTTTCTGATGAACAGCTGAAAATTCACACTTGACAATTTAAAGAATAATGCCCCTCAGTTAGGTTGTTACATTTCCAACTCGAGGCAGAGGTCAAAACAGAAGAGCTAATTAGGTGGCTTCGCCACAAAGCCTGCGACAGAGCCGTCGGACGGGTCTGGAGCCGGCCTGTCAGCAGAGAGGGGCTCCCTGCCGGGAAGTCACAGGAAGCAGCCTCCCCAGCCTCGTGCTCCTCCTCCGGGTTCTCCAGGGCACTGGGTGCTCACAAGGAGAGGGCACTGTGCTAACCAGTCCCAGCGAGTAGTTTTCCAAATCCAGACCTATGCTCAGTTGTGTTCTGAATAACTGGTAATGGGAAGACAGCCTCGTTTAAGAAACATCTTTTAACTGAGGGGAAAACAGGAGGCGGAGTGGGGGAGGAGGAGGAGAGAGAAAGAAACGTCTTTTGAGTGAGAGAACTGGGGGGTCATCTATCCATATGGCGGTGGTGGTTGGTGCTGCCCGCCAATGTGCACGCATTAGTGGGGAGCCTGCGGGCATCAGTGGGAGGCTGTGGGCATTATGGGAGGCTGCGGGCATTATGGGAGGCTGCGGGCATTATGGGAGGCTGCGGGCATTATGGGAGGCTGTGGGCATTATGGGAGGCTGCGGGCATTATGGGAGGCTGTGGGCATCAGTGGGAGGCTGTGGGCATCAGTGGGAGGCTGTGGACATCAGTGGGAGGCTGTGGGCATTATGGGAGGCTGCGGGCATTATGGGAGGCTGCGGGCATTATGGAAGGCTGTGGGCATCAGTGGGAGGCTGTGGGCATCAGTGGGAGGCTGTGGGCATTATGGGAGGCTGTGGGCATCAGTGGGAGGCTGTGGGCATCAGTGGGAGGCTGCGGCATTATGGGAGGCTGTGGGCATCAGTGGGAGGCTGTGGGCATCAGTGGGAGGCTGTGGGCATCAGTGGGAGGCTGTGGGCATCAGTGGGAGGCGGTGGGCATCAGTGGGAGGCTGTGGGCATTAGTGGGAGGCTGGGGGCATCAGTGGGAGGCTGTGGGCATCAGTGGGAGGTGGTGGGCATCAGTGGGAGGCTGTGGGCATTATGGGAGGCTGTGGGCATCAGTGGGAGGCTGTGGGCATTATGGAAGGCTGTGGGCATCAGTGGGAGGCTGTGGGCATCAGTGGGAGGCTGTGGGCATTATGGGAGGCTGTGGGCATCAGTGGGAGGCTGTGGGCATCAGTGGGAGGCTGCGGCATTATGGGAGGCTGTGGGCATTATGGGAGGCTGTGGGCATCAGTGGGAGGCTGTGGGCATCAGTGGGAGGCTGTGGGCATTATGGGAGGCTGTGGGCATCAATGGGAGGCTGCGGGCATCAGTGGGAGGCTGTGGGCATTATGGGAGGCTGTGGGCATCAGTGGGAGGCTGTGGGCATCAGTGGGAGGCTGTGGGCATTATGGGAGGCTGTGGACATCAGTGGGAGGCTGTGGGCATTATGGGAGGCTGTGGACATCAGTGGGAGGCTGTGGGCATCAGTGGGAGGCTGTGGGCATCAGTGGGAGGCGGTGGGCATCAGTGGGAGGCTGTGGGCATCAGTGGGAGGCTGGGGGCATCAGTGGGAGGCTGGGGGCATCAGTGGGAGGCTGTGGGCATCAGTGGGAGGTGGTGGGCATCAGTGGGAGGCTGTGGGCATTATGGGAGGCTGGGGGCATCAGTGGGAGGCTGTGGGCATCAGTGGGAGGCGGTGGGCATCAGTGGGAGGCGGTGGGCATCAGTGGGAGGCGGTGGGCATCAGTGGGAGGCTGTGGGCATCAGTGGGAGGTGGTGGGCATCAGTGGGAGGCTGTGGGCATTATGGGAGGCTGGGGGCATCAGTGGGAGGCTGTGGGCATCAGTGGGAGGCGGTGGGCATCAGTGGGAGGCGGTGGGCATCAGTGGGAGGCGGTGGGCATCAGTGGGAGCCTGCAGGCCCACACTCACCTTGGCGTAAGCCGTTGTCTTGAGAAACCACTGCCTGAGGTACTTCTGCTCGACCTTCGCTCCGGAGCGCCACGAACAGCCCTGCTCGTCCACCTGCTCGTTGGCCAGCACTGTTTGGTCCACGGGGTCCCAGTTAACCAGGGCCTGTACCAACCATGAAATAAACAAACAAAAAAATTAAAAATAACAATAAGTACCTGGCTGGTGTGGCTCAATGGTTGAGCATCCACCCATGAACCAGGAGGTCATAGTTCCATTCCAGGTCAGGGCACATGCCCTGGTTGTAGGCTCCATTCCCAGTAGGGAGAGTGCAAGAGGCAGCTGGTCAATGATTTCTCTCTCATCATTGACGTTTCTATGTCTCTCTCCCGCTTCCTTCTTGTCTCTGAAAATCAACAAAAACCGTATTTTAAAATAACAGTGCTTATCAAGCCAGGATATTTTAGTGCCCAAACTCTGTACTCAAGCCTTGAGTACACAGAGATAAAATAATAACCTTAGACATGAAAACTCTAGGTCAGTGGTTGGCAAACTGAGGCTCTTTGGCCCCTTGAGTTTTTAGCAAAGGCCAGCTTAGGAGTGCCCTAATTAAGTAAATAACAATGTACCTATCTATATAGTTTAAGTTTAAAAAATTTGGCTCTTAAAATAAATTTCAATTGTTGTATTGTTGATATTTGGCTTTGTTGACTAATGAGTTTGCTGACCACTGCTCTCGGCTAATAAACCAAGGGTGATTTACTTATCTATTATTATTGCCTATATTAGGGATTAGGAGGGATTCTATTTAAAATAAGGTAGCCCTATGCTCTGGTTTCTCTTCAGACCGCATAAATCTTTCGCCTTTTATTAAAATAAGGTAGCCCTAGCTGGGTGGCTCAGTGGATAGAGCATAAGCCTGCAGACGAAAGGGTACCAGGTTCGATTCTGGTCAAGGGCACGCACCTCGGTTGCAGGCTCCTCTCCGGCCCAGGTTCTCGTAGGGACTCCTGTAGGAAGCAACCAATCGATGTGTTTCTCAAGCTCATAACCCCAGTATGTGCCCTTAACTGGAATCAAACCCAGGACCCTTCAGTTCGCAGGCTGATGCTCTATCCATTGAGCCAACCAGCTAGGGCTACCTTATTGATTTTAAATGGTATCCCTCCCAACCCCTAATATAGGGAATAATAGTAGATAAGTAAATCACCTTTGGTTTATTAGCCTCGAGTTTTCACGTCTAAGGTTAATATTTTATCTCTATGTACACAAGGCTCGGGGGGCCCTGGAATGAGGGGAGTCACTCACTACTGTCCCTCTCTCTTCCAATCTCCCTAAAAACCAACGGAAAAATATCCTCAGGCAAGGATTAACAATAAATAAATCAATAAGGTAAAAAGAAAGAGCCAAGTTTGTTTAGTATTGTGGAAAGTTCTTTCAAATGGCAGCCTGCCCGCCGCCGCCCCCACGCCCTCCCAAAACACCCACACAGAACTAAAACCGTATAAAATATAAACCGGAGATAAAAAGCCCTATATGCTTCCATCTGGGCCTCCCACCCCACCAACCTCAGAGGATCAAGAAGCAAACATTCAATACTGCCGATTGCAAAAACAAATAGGACTTCATTTTCTTATCAGCAGTTGCCACGCGGCCCGGGCATCTCCCCGGCTCCAGGTTATAAAAGGCGAGGAGGAAGACGTGTTCCTGAGAGGTTTACAAGTTATAACAAAACCTTGGTGTCGGATGAGAGACAAATAAAAGCAAAACACAAAAGCAATTTCTTCCCCCAGCGAAAGTCTTGGGGGACCGGGAAAAACACCAAAGGAAATAGCATTTCAGATCAAAGATGCATCAGCTGTGAGAAACCTCTCCTTTCTTCCCACGATCTGATCCGCCTCAACCACAGAGAAGCTGGTCCCGGCTCAGCCTTCCCTGGGGGTGGGGGGGGTAGGGAGGGACTACCCCAGGGGCAGCCGCAAGGCAGGGCCCTGGCATCCGGGCGGCGCAGCACTAGCAGCTTCTCCACGCCTGGAGCTGCTCCCAACGCCCTTTCCCGGGTCTCCTCTCACTACCCGCCTCCGGCACACAGCCAGGGCTCTTGACAACATTCCCGATGCCCACGTTGTGAACACGTACTCTGGTGGACACCCTGACTGTCAGGCAAGCACAGTCTTGGTGCACAGAACACAGTTTCTCGACAACCTCACCTGGCCGACATGTACGCTCTCTACTCCCCACCGAGGCCAACTCCTCCTCCTCTGCAGTTCACCGGCCACATTGGCAGGATCTGGATTTTACAACCAGCCTTCCGTCCACACTGAAGCCACTGAGACCCCTGCAAACACCCTGAGCTCCAGCCCACCTGGCCACTGCTTCCCTCACGCCGTTATCTGGTAACTCCGTATGTCCCCGCTGACGCAGGGTTAACACGGGATTCGCCTTTTTTTGTCGCCTGGGTGCTGCACAGGAAGCTTTTAGGAACATTTAGGAAATGCAGTCCATGACACCGTTAGGCTCTTAGGGATGCCGGCGACTGGGGCTCCACGGGGGATTCTCAAGGTGGTATCTGTGATCCTGAGTTTGTATGCTCCCTTCTCTGTGACACAGCAGCTGGGGGGCCCCTGCCCGCAGGCCTCACCCTCTTCATCTCATCTTCCTCTTGCTTGGTTCTCTTCCCTCACCTCCCGGGCCACACTCTGCACAGGAGGCTTGTCCCCCAGATCACCCTCCGTCAGCTTTTGTCTCCCGGCCAGGGCATCGCTCCTCCGGCCTCCGGCTCCTCCCCATCGTCGGCCTCGCTGCTTCCTCCCCAGGCCCCGCCTGGCCACCCCTTCTCTGAGGACACGGACATGCAGCTTCTGGCTCCAGAAGGCTGGTCCAGTATGTGGTTCAGGGTATTGATTTCCTCAAAGTCTACTAGCTTTTCTCTTGACAAAAGGATGCTTAGTTAAGAAACACCACATATTGCAGCTACCAAGAAACCAGCGGCTGAGAAGAAGCCCGCAGAAAAGAAACCCACCACAGAAGAGAAGAAGCCCGTGGCATAAACTTAAATTGTTTATTCCACAACGGTCAAGTCACTTTGGACAGCTAATTTTGAATAAAAATATGATCAAAGGCAAAAAAAAGAAAAAAGAAAAAAGAAACACCACATAGATCCTATTAAAGGATGTAATTCTCAAGATTGATATTGCTCCATTCCATCCAGAATGGGCCCCATTTGGACAGAGTCCAGGGGAAGGGGGTGGGTGCCCAAGGCTGCTGCCACCACCTTCCACAGCCCCGGAGGCAGAGTGGGAGAGGCTGGAGACGAGGCCGCACTGCACACCAGCTCAGGGGCCCAATCAGCCCTGCCACCAGTGGCCACGGAAGACCTGGAGACGGCCAACGACACACTCTTAGACGGGCGCTCTCTGCAGCTCCCAGAATGTCCAAGCCTCAGGCAACATCACTCCTTTCTCTCCCAACTACACCCACGGAACAATCTCTTTTCAATCACAGAGGCAAACTCATGTTCTCCCAAGCACAGGCCTTGGAAAGCTCGTGTCTGCCCATCCTGAGCTCACAGCTTCATTGGTGCTGACACTGTGCAGTGAAATATGTCAACTTTTGGGAGAGCTGCCTAACACTGTACTGTGTTTCCCGAATGCCTAATGTCTGATGTTACAAAGTTATGCAGGGGTGAAAAACCCACGCAAAGTGTGAGACAGACCAGTCCAATCCGTTTTAATTTAACAGCATACGAAAAGGTCAACGCTGCAGCTCAAGTGCAAGAGACCACCGCTTGTTGACTTTCGCTATAGTGTCAAAGGAGAATATTCACAATTACGGGAAGTGATTATGAAGTCACCCTTCCACTTTTAACAGGTTCCCTTCATTCAGGCTTCTGGTATTCACCACCATGACTTTAAATAATAAAAGTATGCTTTGATTTCAGATATTGTCTTTGGACCGTTCTGGGGACGCTGGGCCATGCGTGGTGGATACTCCGCATGGTTGGCCATACAGCCTTCCTCCCACCCTCGACCCCTCTTCTAGTTCGCCCTACTTTTATTAGCTTCCATAGCTACCTTTCTAACTTAAAAAAAATGCATAGCTGTGAACCTCTAACTTTGCGCCTCTGACTCCTTGCTGGGAAAGATGGAGGGATGGTCTCGCACTTGCTTCTATTTTTCTTCCCCAAGTTCACCTCCTGGCTTTCGTTGCTACCTTATTTTTATGTTGTCAAGGTTTAAGACATCTTTGTTTTATTCAGAAATTCGAGCGGAGCTTTCTGCATCCATCTCTATATTGATTCTAAAGCGTTCCAAACCTAACAACAATGATTCTGTGAGTAGTATTCATTGTAAGGCCAGGCAGTGTGAAGTGAGTGACCCACAGAACAGTGAATGTAATTGTGTCGTCAGATCCCTCTGGTCAAAGGAGAGTGGCGTTTCCACTTGTTACTTCTGGATCTTCTAGACCCACGTTGTCTAGAGGATGCTCTGTGATGATGGAAAGTGTTCTAGATCCGTGATGTCCAGTCTTCGCTACTCTAGCATGTGAATGAGGACCTCAATCTTAATGCTAATGAATCGCCATTATTTTAAACTGAAATGTCAACATCACACGCCGTTGGTGGCTACAGTACTGGACAGAGAAATTGTAGGCCACACTGTGATCCTCCCCCTCCTCCCCAGCACCTCAGGAGCGTCCACTGTTACTGGGCTCCCACCATGACACGCTCCTCGCCTTCTTGGGAGACCACTCTGTAGGCACTGTCCTCCCAAGACCCTGCAACGATGATGTTACCACCCACTGGGCAGGGACAGAACCACACTTCCGGGAGTGACTGACCCAGCGCACAGCTGGGAGGGGTCGCTAGGCTAGGGCCTGGGAAGCCTGCATTCCTTCTCTGCTCCTGTCCTGATCTCAGCCCAAGCATCAGACACTGTTACATGCTGGGAATTCAAGTGCGAAAGGACCAAGCCCTGCCCCGGAAGCAGCAAACTAAGCCAGGCGTCACTACTTTCTGGATCTGCTGCGACCAAGGCCATGACCTTGAGGTCATGTTCATTTTCACTATTTTCATGGGCAAATAGGGCCCATTTGTTTCTTGATCAACAATGGTGTGTTCTGAGCAGACGGAAGAGATTTATTTAAAGGGCAGCTAACTTGGACTTACCTCCTTCTGATAGGCCAGGCCAGCGTCGTAGAGCTTGATAAAGAGGTACTGAGTCCACTTGTAGTAGTCCGGGGAACACGTGGTTATTTCCTGTCGGAGAGGGAGAAGGAGTCACCCACTGGCTACTGTGAACACTCGCCCCCACACCACGTACGCACCGGCCTTGCAGCATTTTGAAAAGCAATCTCACTGCAAACGTGTGACCGGCTATCCTACTTTCCACCCATTTGTAAAGCGAGAGGAGAGAGACGTGATTGAAATGCCAACCCCAGCCCTGGCTGGCGTGGCTCAGTGGATACAGTGTCAGCCTGTGGACTGAAAGGATCCAGGTTCAATCCCAGTCAAGGGCACATGCCCAGGTTGCAGGCTCAATCACCAATGGGGAGCATGCAAGAAGCAGCCAATCAGTGGTTCTCTCATCATTGATTCTATCTCTCTCTCCTTTCCTCTCTGAAATCAATAAAAATATATTTAAACAAACAAACAAACAAACAAAAAAGAAGCTGAAACCGGTTTGGCTCAGTGGATAGAGCGTCGGCCTGTGGACTGAAAGATCCCAGGTTCGATTCCGGTCAAGGGCATGTACATTGGTTGCGGGCACATCCCCAGTAGGGGGTGTGCAAGAGGCAGCTGATCGATGATTCTCTCTCATCAATGTTTCTAACTCTCTATCCCTCTCTCTTCCTCTCCGGGGAAAATCAATAAAATATATTTAATTAAAAAAAGAAAAAGAAAAGAAATGCCAGCCTCGCCTTTCCTGTTTAAAGATGAGAAAATCAACCCGAAGTCTTCTGCACACCCCTCCCTCCACCCACGCAACGAACATATGAATTACGGAATGAGGCTCTATCGTTTTTGTCAGCGCAAACATAGCCGGGGGGCCACAAAACTGATTCGTAAAAGCAGTTCATTTTTAAAGCAATCATAAAATCCAAGAGGAGTATTTTCCTGCTTTTATACGATCTCCATTTGCAAAGAAACCTTGTGTTCGCACATATCACCAGGGCCTCGTATCTCCTTCAGGCTCATTCCCCTCCGTGTACTCCATTATGTGAGTCAGGCTGGCATCGACATAGGAAGACCCACCAAAATCATTACCAAGTATTAAACTCAGTGCAAAAGCGTCTGGCTTGTATCTCCAGCCTGAACCGAAGCCTCCCCACACTTACTTTCTGGCCTGAAAACGCCTTTGCTATGGAATCTTGAAAGGCAGGTTACTGATAACTCCCTGTTCGGCCAGGCAGATAAGGTCAAGAGGCACAAAGACCTGCGCTCTCACTGCTTCCTTCTCCTGCTCTCTGCACACAGCAGCTAACAGCGGGATGGACGGAGGACGGGGCACATTCCCAATGGTTCCACCCGTGCGGACATCCGCCTTTCTGCAGATGGAGGAGAGCTGAAGCCCAGTGGGGAGGGCGAGGAGGGCCGGGGCTGAAGAGGGGGTCTGGGAAACTCGAGGTGCTCCCAATGGGCTACCTCTCTTAGGTAAGATTCTTGTGTATTATGTTCTTTTATGTGCTGACTAATAAAAAGCAGAGAAATCACTACTAGAAAACAAAGAACTCTGACTGCCAGATCCATTCCCCACTCCCCTGCAAGGCAGAGAGGACAACCAGCCCATCTAACAGCTCTGCTCTATGGTAGCTGACCCCGGGGGCCAGCCCCATCAGTGCCCCAGCTGTGGCACCGAGTGCTGAGCTGTGAGCACCAAAGCCAGCCCCAGCTCCCAGGCTGCACACACACACACACACACACACACACACACACACACACACACACGTCTGCAGGAGCTACATGCGCAGAGTGCCTCGCCAACTCAAGAATGGGACCAGCACACTGTGGGCGGGCTTGCTCCCCAACACCTCCAAATTCACCCTCATGCCAGGATCGGTTCCTCACCAGCTACCCTCCCCATGCCACAGAACTCCTTTCCTTCCGTTTCCCAGACAAGCAACTGAAGAATCTGCATTTCTTTATTTTAAAAAAAAATTTTTTGGGGGGGGGGCCAAGGGGAGAGGAAGGGAAAGACAGAGAGAGAAACATCGACTTGTTGTTCTACAATACTTGTTGATGCATTCATTGGTTGATTCCTTTATGAGCCCTGACCGGGGATCAAACCTGCAACCTTGGCGTATCAGTATGGCGCTCCAACCCTCTGAGCTACCCAGCCCGGGCAAAAACTTGAATTTCTAATAAAACCGGGGCAGGAGCTATGTTTAGATGTTTGATTTGTTCATCACTGTCTGCTCAGGTCCTGGCACGTCGAGGCACCCCAAAATTATTGTTGAATGAAGAATAAAATAAACACACCAGCTCATCTAACGCCTGCATGCTGAATTAAACTAAATTCAAATTACATTGTTAGTCTATAAGATGAACTAGGGCAGGGGATGCAAGAATGTGGTAAAAATATTCCCAGACTTGTTATGGTTTGTTTTTGCAAATTTTTATTCATTAGAAGTTTTAAAAAGTGTGTGAATTAATATGAAAAAAAATGACAGTTAAATTTAGGAGGTGACTGTTCTCTTTCCTCTACTTATCTGTATCACTAAGTTTTTCATAATAAAGCATCAAAATACTTCCATTAAACACATATAATATGCATATATATTACATGCATGTATGTGTTTTCTCGGCCCTGAATCTGCTTCTATAGATTGAGAATAAAAACTACAGTACAGCAACAGACCAGTACTATTATCTTCATCCAGGTTTATGGTTTTGAAAACCACTTTCACTTGAACTAGAAGAAAACTCACGGGTCCAGTCAGAGGGAAGAAAGATGGCTGTCCACCGAGCATTAGTCTATTTCACCCGCCAGGAACGCAATCTCTATGGAAAGAGCCAGCTCCGAGGTGCACTGAGTGTGGGCACTGCAGGCCCTCCGCCCCTGCCTTCAGACTGGGTCTGACCCGTGTTGTTCACAGCGGGTTTCTGTGTGTCATTGGAGGAAAAGTCATGCCAGCTGCTGGAAGGGTACAGCTCGCAAACCAGTACTCCAGGACCATCACCCACTCCCGACTGTGGAGAGAAAGTTCTGTGCTGTGACCGCGCTGGGACCTGCGAGCTGGACCTGGGCCAGAGCGGGAGAGGGCTCACTGCAGCCCCCTTAGAGATGGACCGAAAGCGATGCTCATTCTGACATAAATCAGCGCCTCTCCCTTGCCTCCTGCAACGAGCTGGTTCCTGGAACAGGCTGTGTGCAGGCTGGTCAAGCATGTAAAGTAATCTCCGCACCTGGAAGCATGCACGTACCAGCACCCGTGACCGGTGCCCGCCAAGCAGCGTGAAGATCCATTTATTTCCTCTCGCAGCCTCCACGACGTGCCTTGTGAGTTTGCCCTCATAAACTGTTAATTACCAACTGGATGGCAGCCTCTACCTTCATCTCTCCTGCCCTCTGTTACGGAGGGAGATTCTCAGCGCCAGGAACGTGCCTGGTGTCTGCGTGTGTGAATGCCGATGGCTTTACTTGGGTGCATGTTTACCACTCACACAGTCCCCTCTGAAGGGCCAGTGTCCCCAGCCCAGAGGAAGCTGGGAGCGCTCCTGCCCATTTATTCCCACCTGCTGCACACAGGGTCCACCAGGGCCCTCGGTATCATCCTCTCCACGAAGAAATGGCAGACCAGATGCCCCAAGGCTCCCTAGTCCAGTCTCATGAGAACTACAAACATGGTGGGGAGAGACCTTGCTCAAAAATGCATTTCCTAAAAATATCAGAATGCTTCTGGAACCTTCCTTGATTTGCTGGGTTTAAAGACAACAAAACAAGTAGTTCTAATCTTCTAATACTTCATCTCAGAAAAAAATCACCAAAAAGGGGACATCTGAAATAGCCTCAACAATAAAGTTTAAAAAAAATCACCAGACATCTTTCTAAAATTAAACTGCTAAAGCTTTCCCTTTAGTCTGGCTAAAATGGAGACTCCCTTTCACATTTTCCCTGAGAACTTCTTACTTAACCCAGCTCTTAGACAAGGCTCTCCTGGGCTTTCACCACCAGAGATGCTCACTGCCCTTCCTCCGTCCTCCTCCTAAAGCAGGATAGCTCCCAAGGACACCTGGTGATACCTGGAGACACTCTGTCTGTCACACTGTGGGGGGGGAGGGTGGTGCTGACATAGTGGGTAGAGGCCAGGGATGTTGCTAAAATCCCTTCCATGCACAAGACAGTTTCTAGAACAAAAAATGATCCAAGTCCAAGCATGCCACTGCTCGGTGGGTTTTCATTTTTTTAGTTTGAGTCTGTAACCTCAGGCAGATTAAAGAGCCAACCAACTTTCCCATAGGCATTCCACATGAAGGCATACAGCGTCCTTGGGGAAGTGGCAATGCCAGCCCCTGCGCTTGGGCTCCCCTTCTCCCTCTGCTGTGACCCCCGAACTGCCGAGCACATGGGGCAGGGTCCTCATACCCAGGGAGCTCGTCCCTCCTCCCAGTTCTGAGACCCACCCCGGGGGAGACCAGGCAAGTCTGGGGGTGTGGGCAGACACAGTTCTGAAACTCGGTTATGCATGCATAGTGCTGCTCCCTGGGCATGAGTGATTGGTTTTACTCCCTAAATGTTAAATCATTTAATAGGCCTCCAAGTGGCTGTCTGACTTGGAAAACCTCTTGTAATAAATCCATGCAATACAGTTCCTATTGTGAAGTTAGAGAGGCGTATCATTTTTCTCAATACATCAGTTTACCACCTTCCATGAAAAGGCTGCTGACAAGTGTTGAGAGATCATCGGTTGGAATCTGGCCCACAGCACCCAAATGTCCTGGCCCAGCCCTGCCTGTACCCCAGGGGAGCCCACTGTCTGTGGGGTGGGGATTCCTGCCCCCCCACCCCCACCCCATTCCTGCGGTGGGAAAGCACTGACTTGGGAAGACTTCTTAGTCAAACGCAGGCTGTTTACTCTGTTCCAGAACCTCTTCATTCTTTTTTAAATTTTTTAATTGATATATATATATTTTTTTACAGAGTGGGAGAGGGACAGAGAGCTGGAAACATTGATCAGCTGCCTCCTGCACATTCCCCACAGGGGATGCGCCCGCAACCAAGGTACATGCCCCTGACCCGAATTGAACCTGGGACCCTT